GACCCAATCAGCCCTCCTCGAGGGACTCGAATTCGGGTACGGTATTTGTGGTCAATTGGCCAAGAATCATGTCACCCCGGTAAAAAAGCCAGACTGCCATAGCAACTCTTTCACATAGCAACTGCCAGAATGCAGGGTCCAGAGAAGATGGCAGCTTTTAGGCTTGATTCCTCGGATTCGGAGGCATATGATCAAGCTCCTTCGGAAAGGCGATAATTCGTTGGCATCTCTCAGCAACACAACAGCAAGCTCGAATGGTACAGAGGCAAGAGGAGCACGGCTGCAATAAGACAAGTTAAAGGGCAGACGGTAGGACGCGATAACTGGCAAAATGAATCAACGCTTAAGTCTGAAAGGCAGATGCGTGAATCCCTTCTGAGCAGATTGGGCCAATCAGGAGATGGCTTATCAAGAACAGGTAAGAGGTTCATTTGATGTATAATTAGAGTTGTTATCTTTTATTTAACTGAATGATAATGAGAATAATTTTCTTTATTGATCAACCCAATTAACTGTCCACCACCAATGAACAGAGCAAGGCATACAGGATGCGAGTAAATAAAGTAAATGTTGTCACACAGGCTGGAGTCAGTTTAGGCGGCTCCGGTCGACGCAGGGAGGGTATGATTTGCGAGTGTGCCGCATCGAAATGACTAAAACTGTCTCGCGATGCCCCATTGAAGTCGGGTATGGACTTCTCACGACTGGACTGTGGTGCCGACGACCTGTCACCCAACATGCTGGAAGGTGAGGCTGAAGGAGCTGTGATGCAATACGAGTGGTATTCACACTAGTTCGTGTGGGGTGACGAAGGACTGGTGGTGCTAGCAATTTCCCCCAATCATATGAATAGAGCGAGGTGGAAACTGCAGTCCGTTTCAGCCGGGATGAGAACAACTTTTGGTAAATTAAGGCAATGTGAAATTGGATGAAAACGACATCTCTATTCATATGACTGTGGGAAATTTCTACTACCAGTCCTTCATCACCTTAAACTAAATAGGGTGAATACATCTCATACTACTGATTTACTGGTAGTCCCGAAAGAATACTTAAATGCGAAAAATAAAGTAACGTAGTCGGTTGTTATGGCAAATATACGTTTTCTTCATCGACAATCCCACCAAAGAATATAATATGGTAAAAAAGGCTTGATATTTCTTGTAATTCACTTCTGCCCTGGGAGCCAATGGCACTCATGCCAATGTGGCCGAGTGGTTAATGTGTCAGGCTCACATTCTGCACTTCAGGGTTCGACTCCCGCAGAAGTTGTTGATAAGACCAGTTGATGCGAGGTCGGCACTGCAGTCCACTCCAGCCGGGATAAGAACAACTTTTGGAAAAGCAAGGCTATGTGAAATGCCTACTCATATGATTGTGGGAAATTTCTTCCACCAGTCCTTCATCACCTTAAACGAAATTGGGTGAATACATCTCATATTAATGATTTACTGATCAGTTGGACGTGGGTAAATATACATTTTCGCTAGTTTGCCAACCTTAAGCGACCAAGAGGAACAAACCTGGTCCGTAGTCGATTGTATGTATGATCATGTCGACCTATTTCGTTTAAGGTGACGAAGGACTGGTGGTAGCATTTTCCCACAATCATATGAGTAGAGCGAGGTCGAAACTGCGCTGCAATGGTTCCTGAATAAGAAAAACTTTTGGGAAAGTAAGGCAATGTGAAATTTAATGGAAGCTTCAGGTCTGCTCATATGATTGTGGGAAGATTCTTCTTCTACCAGTCCTTCATCACCTTAAAAAAAATTGGGTGAATACATCTCATACTACTGATTTACTGATAGTCTCGAAACAATACTTAAATGCGAAAAATAAAATAACGTATTCGATTGTTATAGCAAAAATACAACTGCTACATCGACAATCCCACCTGGATGAGAACAACTTTTGTGAAAGTAAGGCGATGTGAAATTAAATGGAAACGTCAGATCAACTCATATTATTGTGGGAAAATTCTACTACCAGTCCTTCATCACCTTAAACTAAATAGGGTGAATACATCTCATACTACTGATTTACTGGTAGTCCCGAAAGAATACTTAAATGCGAAAAATAAAGTAACATAGTCGGTTGTTATGGCAAATATACGTTTTCTTTATCTACAATCCCACCAAAGAATATGATATGGTAAAAAAGGCTTGACATTCCTTGTAATTCACATCTGCCTTGTGACCCAATGGCACTCGTGCCAATGTGGCCGAGTGGTTAATGTGTCGAGCTCACATTCTGCACTTCAGGGTTCGACTCCCGCAGAAGTTGTTGATAAGACCAGTTAATCCGAGGTCGAAACTGCAGTCCACTCCAGCCGGGATGAGAACAACTTTTGGGAAAGCAAGGCTATGTGAAATGCCTACTCATATGATTGTGGGAAATTTCTTCCATCAGTCCTTCATCAACTTAAACGAAATTGGAGGAATACATCTCATATGAATAATTTAAGGACTGAAAATGCCTAACAAATTAAGCGTTCCTCAAATTAAGCCATGCAATTATTTCCTAAAATTGGTGACAAATACGATTTCACCACCAACCCTCGTGTTTTCCGTCCAGTTTACCATTTAAGGTAAAAATGTACAGTGCATGTCTGGATTGGTCAGCATCATTGATGACACTTAACTTAACTTCGTACTCCCTCGTTGCAGTCTTTAGTTGCTTACCACCTACTCAACATCTATCCATTGCTCCATACCATCTCCAATAGACACATTCAAATAAGCCCTTGTCCTGATTCACATAACCAAATGCATAAGCCTATACTATACCAATTTTATCAAATAAGCACATGCTCAATTTGCGGAACGCCTAATTCTGGACACAGTTTCAGGCCCTCAATTATTAGTTTGCTGTATGGACGACTACTTTGCTATTTGGCAACATGGCAAAGGGAATCTGCAGGGTTTTTTTGGTTTGATGATCAGGTCACCATCGAGTTAGCAAAAAAAGGTGGGTTTCCTTTTCTCGATTTCCGAGTTAGCAAAGAGGGGACCAGATTCGGTCGAGATGTGTTTAGGAAACCCACAAATGCCGGCTTTGCTTTGCTTTTCTTTTCCAACCACACTGAAAGGGTTCACGTTGGAGTTATGAG